GCGGCCGGGGGCGGGTGGGGCGGGGCATGGGGAGAGGCCGGCTTCCTTCACGTGTGTCCTGGCTGGCCGGAGGCTGCTCACGGGGAGTGCTGCGCTGCGTGCTGGGTGCTCCCAACCTCAGCCAGAGTGCACCCTGGGTGGCGGCAGGGGACGATCTGTGCACCAGCCATGCTCAGCGGGGCTGCTCTGCACATGGAGGCCAGGGGCAGTTCCCGCCTCCTGCCGGACACACACCACACCACATGCCCTGGTCACGGACACCGCTGTGAGTCACACCACATGCCCTGCTGGATGTGTGGGGTGTGCACCTGCAGCTGTGGGGAGCCCGTGTGCGCGTGTGCATGTCTGTCTGTACCTGCCAGGCCATGCTGCCTGTTCCACCCTCTCTGACTGACAGCCTGCCGTCGCTTGCTGTTCCTGAGGTCAGGAACCTCGCATCGGCCACCTGAGTACCGTTTGCTTTGTGTCCCTCGGGAGGCTGTCATGGGTGTCACAGCTGGGGCCTGGCTGGCCCTGAGCAGCAGCACCGGCTCCGTGCTCAGCCCTCTGGGGCAGGGGCTGGTGACCTGCTCCCAGGTGTTCCTCCCTGGCTGTGGGCAGGAAGCCTCAGCTGCTCAAGTGTCCTCCTGCGTGGCTGCAGGGTGTGCCATCCTGGGGCTGTCACTGCTGGCTAGTGAGATCTGTGGCTGCTCCACGCAGTGGTAATACTGCTGCCCTCCCTGCCTTTCCAGGGAGGCACGTCCTCACCTCCCCTCGCCTGCCTAAGTTCAGGCTGCTTATGAGTGGCTCTTGGTTTCCTCAGAGACAATGTATCAGAGAGCCCCAGTGAGTGGCAGGGGCTGGTGCATGAGGGCTGTGGGATGGGGGCCTGGGAGAGGCGTGTCTGCTTCTCCACCAGCATCTCCACGCCTTAAGGCAAAAACCTCTTTAAAAAAAAGCTGCTTTTGGGACCAGCAGTTAGCGTAACGGCTATGTCGCTGGACTCCCATGTAGTCGACCGTGGTTTGCGTCCCAGACCCGGTGGCTTAGAACACACGCCGGGCACGTGTGCATGTGTGTCCAAGATCCCGAGAGGAGAATGGAGAAGGGATTGCGGCGTGACCATCCCCCCTGGGGATGATTTCTCGCTTTCTGTTTCTCTGTCTCTGTCTGGCGAGCGCACGCGCCCTGTA